TTCGTATAGCTGTGTAAACATCCATGTTGGATCATTTATGGCAAAATTTGCATAGTTTGAGGCAATCTCTTTCCCATGGGTCTTTTCGCTTTACGTAACGCGCATCTAACTGTGCAGAGTTTGGTTTTGAGGTAGTCCAAAACGAGTTTTACGACAAGTCGGCACTTTGCGACAATGTGAGTCGGCAAGTTCCGGACAGAAAACCGATCTGTGGAGACTCGTCGTCGGAGATTTTTTTTTTTTTTTTGAAAACAGGCGAAAACTAATGCGTGCGCGGATGTCATCCATAAAATTAAATCGGTGTAGCTAATGGAAATCCAAACTAGTCCTGATTCACGGTGTTGATGAGCTCATTCGTTCCACCATCATTATCTATTTCATACTGGCCCAATAAAGTCAGAATTCCAAGTTTTTTTTAGTCATAGAGTGTTGGAAATCCAACCTCATCAACCGGTATGTGGTGAGATAAGCTAGGCCCAATGCAAACAATCATAGGTAGAACTGCATCTTTAATTTCAATTCTGCATAGACCATGTAACCCTCCTGAGATTCTGAGTGTATGAGGAGAGTGTGGTGGGTAGTGTAAAAGATGGCATTAACTTATTAATAATGGTCCTAAAATGTCTACCCTATGTCGTCATTAGCCAATCAACTACTATTCAAGTTTTCATAAGGTTCACACGTGGAATGTAAGACAAAGTATCAAATAGAACAAGTCTAATAACAGAAATTAATTGATAAAATGGGCCATTTACATAACTTCAATAACAGATAACAGAAATGCCTGGACACTATAGTGACACATTTGTAAAAAAGACATACTCTCATAGCTAGTAAATATAACTATATTAGCCGCAGATTATCCAGCATAATAATAATAGTCGGACACATTCTGTGATAGCTGGTGTTATCACAGGAACTATCACTTCTGATATTCTGTGTCCGATCTCAATAATGACAGAGCTCTCTCATAGGAAAAAAAAATGTCAGCCTCTCATGTTCATCGGGCAGATAGAATCCAATGTTAGTCAAAATATACACAAAAGACAAAAATGTTACTCAATGGCGCACAATACCTTGCTGCAGAAGGTAGAATCCACTCAGCTAATTCAAGGACTCTTCAAAGTGCACAGAAATACTAGACATCACAGTACTCTAACCAATATGTTGTTCACCAAAATAAAATTAAAATATAATAATTAAAGTTTCTTCTGGTCATTTGGTCTGGTCATTTGGGATGAAACAATACAAATATTTTGGGTAGGGTTAACATTGACTACTAAAGTCACATTTCATTATTATTAAATGTTATCAACTGAGTATTCCAATACTGGTGGTTATTAGGCTTATGACAACATAAACTATATCGATTTGTTTATCTCAAAAGTATTGTACTGAATAAAAAAAATTTGAGAAGATAAAATGTTTGGTTGATGCACTGTTTATGTACTCACCTGGCCTGTTAGACTTTTAACTACTTTCAAATCTAATTCATTTGATTAATTTGTTCTAAACCACTAAATGAATTTTAAAAACCAACAAAGTTTGGTTTGAAGTTTTTTCTCATTTTCAAAAACAGTTTAAAAGTGAAAATATGTGACATGTATCTTTCAATTTTTAGTGAGTACAAAGGCTATGAAAGAAAAAGCTGAATTGGGTGGGATATCCTTCGAGGAGTCTGAAGTAAGTCAAATTCAATTTGGTAATTTATCTTTCAAGGTTTTAGCAGCATACAATTCACTACGTTCAATTACCCACCGTAGACTCCGGTCAGTCAAAATGACTATTTTGAACTGTAGGCATTAATCAGCGATTCTGCTGGTGATGGAAAGATAGAATCTAGGTCAGGGGAAGCCTCATGACCCCAAGATTCTTTTACCCTTATGTCACGAACCCACGTGATCGAGGCCAAATGGCAGCGCCACAGACGGCTGTACAATCACTCTTCTTTCATCTCCGCCTCGTCGGGAATGATTCTGAGCAGCTCTGCCTGGCTCTTTTGCTTTTTCCTGTCCGGGTTTCTTGCATGGGTCGCTGCCGACTTTCTAGCTGGTAGGATAAGTTTTTCTTGTCTTTTTACCCTCGTGTCGTTTTCCCCTTTGTGTGTTATGCTTTTCCACAACAAAGAAATTAAAACCCGGCGCCACTACGTAACCACTTCCATGTAACCATGTCAGTTTCGTGGCAGCACCTTTTACCACTGTACTTCGCTTCCCTCATGCATGTCGTCTTCATTTTATGCTTGATCTATGTATTTAGAAATGAATAGATGTAATGACACCACCAGGGCTCGCTGCCGTTTTTTTGGGTCTCCTCGTGTTTCGAGTCGACCGTGCAGTGGTTATATTCAGAATTCACCAGCATAGAACCCGCATCCGAAATACTTTTGTCGTAGCTGCGTGCGGGGTTCGGGGTTTTTGCTGTGAAGGCGTGTATTTTTTCACTGGAGTTCTGAGGCCTGAGATTTTTCTTTCAGAGCCATCAAAATCGATGAGACTGAACGCGTCGCTCATTTATCTTCACAGCAAGGTCGCACGTCCAGTAAACAAATCGGTTAAAGTGAGTGCGTGTTTGGCGTGAGTGGAAAGTCCTCACGCTTGGCTACCGGTGCTTCGTGTACCGGGACGTCGAGTAGGAGGCCTGATGGTGGAGGTACCAACATTTTTTCTCGGTTTCCCCTCGCTAATCGGAGGGCAGACTCACAGTCTGTTTTTTCAGACGGTGGTTTACCTGATTTTACCGGTGGCAGCGAGGCTGTGCCCCTGGAGGCTTTCCTCCTATGGGACCGGTTGCGGGTCCCTTTGTGGACCCTTCCTCGCACTGTACCGGGTTTGCCTCCGAGTTGAGGGCTTTGGTCGAAGGACTGTCGGGGCAATTGCATCCTTGCCAGGCCGGGTAGATCAGATGCAGTCCGAGCGAGCTGTCTCCACTGCAGCCCCTCGGTGGGCAAGCAGGAAGAAACACGAAAGCATGTTTATATTCAAACACTTCTCTTCCGGGGAACCCCCGTTCCCAGCCGTGGCTCTGCTACTAATTTGGGTGAGGCCGAGGCTCAGGCTAATTGCACCAGACCTCCTCTGGAGCCTGGGGCACTGAATGTCAACGGGGGTGCTGGCAGCCAAGACTCCGATCTCGGGGCAGGGCTTTCAGGGC